CAATGAGGGTGAACATGAAAGAACCTGTAGAACTAGAACCCATGAGGAAAATAGACGAAATCAGGATATTCTCAAACAAGGAGCTGAGGCTCACAAGGGAATCCATGGGAGCACTGCCGAAATCCAACGAATACTGTGGACCGATCAAAAAGAAGTCATACAGTTACGTGTCCGGAGTCATAGGGAAAGCGTACAACCCGTTTCTCAGTGGAGACATACGCGATTACTTCTTTGATTACGAGTAAGCAGTGTTGCTGAAGTTCTGGACGTCGAGAATTGCAACAATTAAAAGCGCTTCTAATCCGCAGACCAAGCTGGGACTAGTCTTAGAAAAAAAGGTGGCTGCGCCTTCCGTGCCAGAACCCGACAAACGAGTGGAATTTGGATTGGGATTCTCAGATGAATTACTGAGAACGAGCTTGATGGTAGTGTGGGAACTGATGAGACCATCGTGGTGTCCTAGACCCAATGCTGATTCAATACTACTTGCAACACAAGATGTGCAGATGGAACTAAATGCGGACTGTAACCTGCGTGATCTTAATATCATATATAATGTGATGACAACAGCCTCTAAGAGCAACGGGGAAGACAAAGTGGAGTTGCCTGGCTGGGGACCAGAAGACTGGACTAAACCTGGTAGCTGTCTGGCAGAAATCTGTGGACTGAAAGGTCACATTTGTAGAAGTCTGGATTGCGTGAAAACCCTGGAGAAACAACACAAGCAGTTGACAATATTGTTTGGGAGCATTGTGATGAAAGCAAGAACGGAAACGGAATTGATCGCAGATTGTCATGGAGGAACCGAGGTGAATGTAGTGACTGCACTAGGATTCTATAGTATGTTTGGTTTTTTAGAGTCACTATTGAGTCTAGAACAGAAACATGAAATGGTCACGGCCATCAGTGTAGAAGTGTTCCCAGGAGTTTTGCAGACTGAGCAAAAGCACATAGAAAAATGGAGAGATGCGATCGAGGCGGAAATGAACATCAGACACAGTGAAACTTATCGCAGACCATCGGGAGCGCGATATTTGGTGGGATCGACATTAGTTCCAATGAGCAAGAGCAGATACCCAGTGCATTTTGTGGCTGTTGATGTAAAAAGTACGAGAACGATCGTGGATTAGGCCTTCTCAGTGCCAAAGTGTGTAAGACTGGCGAGAATGTCAGAAAGGTCTTATGAGTTACTGTGCAAAATGTGAATTTGAAAGACAAAAACAGAGAGGATC